TTTTTTCCTTTTCTCCTTCACTCTATATTCCTGTAGAATATTTCATTTCTTTCTTTGCTCCCTGTCCCAGACGATTTGGGTCTTTCAATAATTTTTTATCTTGATTCGTCTTTTTATCTCCCATTGACAACTTCCCACTATGAATTGATCACCCTTGATTTCGTCCCCTGCCAGTTTGTCCAGTGATTGAGATTAGCTTGATCTAAGGGACCCAACTGTATAGGTTACATAAGAACCCTCCTCACCTTTTAATTCTTTCCCAATTTTTATTCCTTTTTATCTCCATTTTACTCACTTGAGGACGGTAGCAGATCCAGCTTCCGAAACGTCGTGGTTCAACTGACTGGGACGATGGATACAGTCCAGAATTTTAGTTTTAACATATAGTTCTCCTTTCATTATCTAACAGGTTTGTCAGCAGGTGTTTCTTTCAATATGATTACGCTAAGCTCATAACTCTGACTTCCATAATATATTCATTGTGGATGTGCTATGAAAAGTGACAGCTGTAGAGATTATTACATTGATTTTAATACAGAGGGTGTCCAGAAAGTAATTCCAGAGTTTTAGGAGGCTGAATTTTCTTAACCATGATACTTATTAAAGAAATAATTTTACTTCAAAAAGCTTCTCTCAGTATATTTCCATATGTGATCCTTTCGTGACTTGACAGATATCCAGTCAACAACTGACTTTAGCCCATCTCTTTCCTAGAGTTACTTTTACCACAGCTGCAGTGGTACATCACCCCAGTTGTCTAAAATGCCCAGTATACCCACACACAACACTTGACATAAACTCACAAGAAAAAAGTTGTGGGGTAACAAATTTTGTGATTCTGCAGATCAAGTGACAGGACTTCACCTCACCATCCACTGCACAAGCCTGGTAACTTTTTGAATTAGGCTTCATTTCAATAAGCTGTTTCTTTAATATGTACAATGGTTAAGAAGGTCTAGCCACCTAAAAACCTGGAATGACTCAGTACTGAGGCAAGACAAAACTTTAACATTACTGGAAGGCATTTGCCAACAAAGGGCACACAGTTACAACATTACATGGCTACCAACAACATGACATTCCAAATTTGTTTCTGCTCACCCTCGTGCATCCTGCTGCCAATATGGTGCATACAGACCAGAGAATGCTGGGACAAAATACACATCTCCAGCACTTCCAGCTTGAGTAGACAGAGATTCAACATCTGACACATTTTGCAAGAGGTTGATATTGTCTCTCAGCCAACTGAGGGCTGCACCAGCTACAGCCACTGAGCCCTCCAAAGCATATACAGGAGCTGCTTTCTTGCCCATCTGGTAAGCTACTGTTGTTATCAAACCGTGAGTTGATTCAACTTTCTGCAATTATATTTCACTGCCAACACTACATAATTATTACATTCATATTAGGCAACAAGGAACATCATTGTGAGTCCTGGAGGAAAATAAATAGAAGCATTTAGAATAGACCTCTCTGTTTATGCATATGTTTGTTTTTCTTGCCAACTTTTGGAACAACAGAACTGAGCACCAGCAACAAAACTGCATCAACCATGGATCACCTTCACATTGTGACTTTATAAAATTTCCCATTGCACCACAGTATGGTTAAGAGAGTATGAATGAAAAATGTGAAATGGTTGAGAAGTGGATTTGGTAACTACCAATATGAGGTGGGCAAAGATTCTTGTGGCATAGCCACCTGAAAACCACAACTCAGGAAACAAACTGTTGGTCAAACTTGCAGATAACTGTCACATGCACAGCTTTTTTCATGGAAGTTCATTATGTTTCCTCTATTGCATTTGTCATCTATTCACTAATATTCTAATAATCCACAGTTATGAACCTGGATGCCATATTAAGAACTCTTTAAATTAAAAAAATAATGCATTGCACTATTAGCAACAGCAATCTGTAACTCAGCAAAACAGGCCAGAAATAATTTTTACATAGCATGATATTAAGCGGTACAAGTAATGCACATGTGTGAGCACGCACAAACACACATGCTTACGATCTCGCTCGCATGCACATGCATGCATGAACACACACAAACACACATTATGCTGGCTGATGGCAAAAATGTGAAAGCATATGTCATTCATGCTAAAACTAGGTATGGTTTATTTGTATCATTCAAATTTTGTATTTTCTGGCCCCTAGTCTTCATACTGACAAGGTTTCACTGTATCAGTCTCATTCATTGGTAATTAATTAATTATCCACTAGAAACATCTGACTACACTAGCGGTGGACATACATTTCTGGAAATGAAGTTTTGAACATGATTCCAAAACATTTTATCCATCATGAAGATAAGTGATCCCATATTTAATGTGGGGGTCACGTTTTTTAATTGTACCGTAGTTATCAAAACCATGTCATGTGAAGCCTTCATTTTATAAGAAATGTGGGATAAGGATCGTTCCACATCAAACTGACACAGCTTATAGGCACAGTTTTCATAACCGTTTCTGATTCTAGCAAGATTACAAGCTAGCTGGTTCTCCTTACGAAGTGACATACACAAAATTTTATCATCCTGCATCCATTAATTGCAGTTTAAAATTTTTTCATTAAATGTTCTCTCATTCTGATTCACTAAAATGGTTATACCTCTGATCCTAGTTACAGGTATAACAGAGATCTAGTTCTTGGAGTAACTGAGAGATCTTAATAGGGCTTTCATTTGATATAGCATACCATTCACAATATTTTAGGACACATTAACCTTTGAGCTTAATTTATGAAAACAAACCTGCAGCCAGATTTATGAAAGTTTTCCCACAACAATTAGTGATCATGTTAATACATATCTTGAAAATATCATGTTGGAACATGAAACTGATGGGAAACATATGATTCTTTGTCTGTTGGTAGTCTCATCCAACTTTTAGTTTATACCTGATGCCACTAGAGTTATGCTGCATTTCCTTGTCTGCAAAATTCTGCATTGGTTCATTAATTAACAAATATCTCTGATATTCTGTCTTACATGTAACATGTTCAGACAGAATATCAGAGATATTTTAATTAATATACAATGTGCAACAGGATGCTACAATAGAACAATCTTGTGAAGGGCATGTTATATATATTATCTGGCAAAGATACAATCATATTGACATTTACAGCATCAGTGTGAGGCTCAGTAGTGCAGGGTAGACCATGACCTCAGTTACACAGAGACATGTAAATCCTAACCCATGGATAATCAAAACTCAGCCCCTTCTCAAACAAAACAGGTGTCTAAATCACACATAATCAAAACAATATAGACCAAATCCATGTTAAAAAAGGAATTACTGCATGCCATTCACAACAATCAATCTTATATAACATAACTCAGCATGTTTTAAGCTCATATTTCAACTTATTCATAATCTCAGTTCAACTCAATATTATAATACAATATCACACAAAAACACGGTATAAAATTGTGAAAATAAGGATTATGACAACAATAATAAATAAAATAACAATATAGAACAATGTACTTGACAAACCCTTACAGTTGTTCCAGTGTTATAGAGCAAAAAACAACCAGTTCCGTAAGTGCACTTAGCCTGTCCTTGTCTAAGGCACATCTGTCCAAGAAGTGCTGACTGTTGGTCCCCTAGACACTGTAAATACAGTCAGTGCATTTCATTACTTTTATTTCAAGTCACACACACTTTAATGACAACAATAACAATGGCAGCAGCACTGACAACACAACAAAATGAAACAAACCAGCAGCCACTGTCACCATCACTACTACTGTGATAAAAATGATGATGATAATGACAACGAGACTGTATTGCAAATTTATATATTCATATGTATATAAATCAAAATTAACTGGCTTCTTACCCCTGAGATGGGAACACCTTTCAAAACACCATGAGCAATAGAGCCATAGACTTCTGATGAACTTCGTATTTCAGGGAGTAAATCCATTGGAATTTTGAAAAATCTATACAACAATAAACAGCACAGTGAAAATTATAATACAGGAATAAATAGCATGAGAAAAACCAATAATTGCCTAGCCTTTTGCCCTTTTATCTCAAAATCAAGAATAATTCCTGGCTTATCAGCATCATAAATACCTTAACATGTGCAGTTAAGGGACAAATAAATTGCTAATATAATGCATTGGTCTGGCAAAGGAACTCCTACACAGGATTTCCATTATTATGTAACACTTGTTACTTGGAGATGCAATGCCTATATAAATGGGCTGCTACAAATCACTTCTATCTTATGTATAGTTCAAAATTACTGGTTTTGAAAACTGGAGGCAAGTTGATATAAAGTATCTCCAAGGTTCATTCACCTGCATAGCAATGGGTCCCACTGAAGAGTTTCAATATTCATCAGCATTGTTCTGGAGGCATTTGTTACATCTGTGATAAGTATACCGCCATCCTTTCCACCTGTTAAATTCTGGAATGGAAAGAAGAGGTTCCTGGGTTTCATCAAGTTCTTCTTATATATGTTCTTGTTCTTGAGAAGGCATGATGTGTGAGCATTTGCATTCACCAAAAGTAATATCTGAATTGAACCAATTGGCCCATTTTCACAAAACTCAGTATGAATGTTACATAATTTGATGCCACTTTATAATTATGCATTTTAATCTCCTATCATGAACAAGTGAAAACAATAGTCATGCAAACTTCTGAGATGGAAGCAACATTAGTGATATTCAATACAGTATCCTGAAATTTTAAATTCTGATATGCTTAAAAGATATGCATTTTGGTGAAGTCAGTTTTGTATACCACATAATTTTGTTGGCTACAAATGATGAACCACTAGGCATGTATGGTGCCAGATTACAACCTTGCGTAAAAACTTTATATGAAACAACCTGTGTGTGTGTGGGGGGGGGGGCACGGTATACCGACAATTAGAAACATAGCTGCTATACGAGGCTTTCTCATTGTGTCTTACAACTTTCAAGCATTTTAAAATTATATCAGTACAAAATTTGCAAAAGGATGGATTATTCAATTCATGCTGACTCTTTAATCCTCTGAAAAAGTTCTTCTTTAAACTTCTTTTTGACTACCTATAATAGAAATCAGTCACAAGCTTTTTGTTGAATATAACTTTAAGTCCACTGCCTCTTTTGAAACAGTGGAGATTACCTCACTTATATTTTTCAATTTCATATCACTGTTGACAGCAACATGCAAAGAGATATCACAAAATTCAATTTATATTATAATATCACTGCTCAAAGTGAAGCGTCACATTCAGTGATCTATGCATAGCCAAGTATCTTAAGCATATCTTAAAATGGATGTTAAAGAAATAAGACAGGGGTGTGGACTGGATTCATCTGCCTGAGAAGGGGGTCCAATAGCTGGTTATTGTGAACACAGTACTGAATCATAAGTTCCATTAGCTGGGGCTTTTCTTAACCAGGTGAGTGACTCTCAAGATCCTTCCTCCATGGAGTGCGTTAATTAATCAAAGAAAAATCTAGCATGGTGTAAACATCTGTCAATAATGCTGTGTGTCCCTGTGTGAGGTAACACTGATTATTCCACATCTGTCAACAATCCTGTGTGTCCCTGTGTGAGGTAACACTGATTATTCCACCCCAAGCGGCATCCGTAGCCTAGGGGTAACGTTCCCACCTCATGACTCAAGGTACGCGGGTTCAAACCCGGCGGAGGTCATGGAATTTTTAAAAGCGGCAAAATTCAGGGAACAAGTCCCCCGGGAGGGACTTTAAGCTGTGGGTCCTGTGTCTTAGCTTTAAGGCACGTAAAAGAACCTCATGTCTCAAGGAGACCTCTGAGCTAAATTGAAGGACATTTCCTGCCCAACAATAGTCTCTAACGCCTCTGGTNCCAACAACAACAATAATAATAATAATAATAATAATAATAATAATAATAATAATAATGATAATAATTCCACCACAATCAATTTTTTAAGTTGGCAGTATGTATCCGCTCCTTCCAGTGATGGGTCCTATATTTCAGTTTTAAATTTTTGAGCACCAATTTGATTCTCTAGACAATACTTCCACAATTTCTGGTGTAAAAACAATTCAAAATGTTCCAGGGGGTTATTGGGGGTCTTCTACATCAAAATTTATGGCACGCTTGCCAGTAAATGGAAAATGTGGCTGCTCAGCACCTGACTTTGCCCATGTGCCATGCTGCATGCTACTGTTGTCACTGACATTTTCTTTTTCATCACAGCTGACATTCTGTTCATCACGTAACAAAATTTTGACATTTGTTTCACCATCACTACTATATTCGCTCTCAGAGATATCACTATATTAATTCTCCTGCAACAGTTCACATTACACCTCCTCATCACTCATATACATCTTCTTCCTCAAAACCTTAACATTTCTGTTTCCAGATGGTTAACTAGCAGGCATGGTGTTCCCCAGGGCTCAGTATTGGGTCCATTACTGTTTAATATCTACATCAATGACTTTCCTAGTATCCTAAAAGGTCTAGCTCATATCATTCTTTACGCAGATGATACCACTATTATTGTTTCTTCAAAAGATATTACCACATTGAATCAAAAAATAAATCTAATAATGAATCGTATCCATAAATGGTTTCAAAATAACCAACTAGTACTTAATCTGGACAAAACGCATGTAATTAAATTTGCCACTCCTAAGGCTTTAGACTATCCACTACATATAGAATATAATGATCAAAATCTTAATATTGATGAAAATGTTAAGTTCCTGGGTATGTGCCTTGACTCTCATCTCAATTGGAAACAATATTCGATCAGTTTAATAAAAAAATTATGCATTGCAATTTACATGCTTAGAAAATTGCAACCCTTTGTGAATGGACAAGTTTTACGTATCGTCTATTTTTCCCATGTTCAGGCTCAACTCAATTACGGAATTATTTTCTGGGGCTCATCTTCATCAATGAAAAGCATATTTGTGGCCCAAAAAAGAGCAATAAGAGTTTTGTTAAGGCTGGGTCCTAGAGATTCATGTAGGGAAGGCTTTAAGAAATTGGGTATACTTACAGTCCCCTGCTTATATATATATACTATGATATTGTTTGTAATTAAAAATTATAATATGTACCAAGCAAACGATAACATACATCAAATAAGTACCAGATGGCACAATAGGCTACATGTTTCTTCTGTGAGATTATCTTCCATTCAGAAGGGTGTGCATTTTACATCTATTAGAATATTTAACAACCTGCCACAAAACATATATATCTTGAAAGACAATATTAATATTTTTAAACAAAGACTAAAGGATTTTCTGGCTTCAAAAGCATTTTACTCGGTAGGTGAATATATGGCAAGTAGGTAATTTTATGCACTGTTACAGTCTGTTTTCTAAGACTATGTTCTAGCAAAGAATTGTAAGATGACTGATTTTTATACTGTTGTACCTATCAATGTTATAATTGTTGAATATTTTATTGTCTAGACCAGGTTGCACATTGCAATGTCAGTTTGGATGTGACGAGTTCAATATCCAGTCCGGTTTCCGGACAATGGATCTGTGAAACCATGTAGCTATGTTATGTTATGTTATGTTATGTTATGTTCCTATGACCTGCCATAATGTTTACGTGCAAAATCTCGAACCCAGGACAGCTATCAAGCAATCAGAACCTTCCTGTCACACTCTGAAGCAACTTGAAAATCTAATAAGCACAATGTAGAAATTTGCATTGCCGTCATTATATATACAACGGTGTAGTTGGAAACATGCAAAACATGCACAGATGTCAAAAGCCCCTATGATAAAGAGTAGTGTATAGCATATTCAGGCATCATACACACATAACTGGTTAAAGATCTGATACACACTATCACTAGGTGTTTTTTCACTCGAAAAATACATTGCTGAGGACAGGGAAGTTCATTATAATGGCATTTAACTAAATGCATTCCTCTCAAAGAATAAGTTTCTTTTTTTCTGTGACAAATGGCTCAATCAAAATGTAAGCAAATATACTTTTAAAGCAAAAAAAAAAACTTCTTATAGATACATCTTTTGGAATCCATCCTTCAGCATTCAATAGCATAAACTGTTTAACATTATTTCCCTGACAATATCAGTGACAGTGAGAAAGCACCATAAGAAAATAATAAAGCAAACAATAAAAAACAAAAACTCTGTGGTTTTAGTTCGCAAGCTAACTATACTGACTGAGTGTCTGCCGCTTGTCAACGAAGTTAGTGACAATTTTAGCGGATAGAGGGTGTTGCATGATCCGCGCAATATATCTCCACGGGCGTTAATTTCAGTTTTCTAGATCGGAGCCACTATTTCCATGAAATAGCTCCTCAATTATCCTCATGAGGCTGAGTGGATGCCATTCCAAACCCACTACTTCTCAGAAAATCTGGTAGTACCGTGAATCGAATCCAGACCTCTGGATCTGTAGCCAGGAACTCTGACCACTAGACCACAGAAGCGAAATGAACATTCCCTTCTTTTATTTCAAATTTAAGAAAACAAGTTGCATATCAGCTAAGGTCTGCAACACAGAAAAGACTGCATAAACAAGATGGGACAAAATAAAAGTTCTGGTAGTCGATTATTTAACTGAATGCCCTAACAGGTTTTTGTAAACTCTTTGAGATGGTTCATAACTATTATATGAAGACCTCTAAGTGCAGTAGTAGAGTTAAAAATGAGAGATTTATGGTCTTCGAACTCCCTGGGAAGTCTCTACATGAATACATACAGGAAAAGCTAATCAAATTTTAGATCTTTGAAATTCTAAAAAACAAATAAAACATGCCTTTCCAGTCAGAAGCAAGCAATAACAAATTTAAATCTTATGGCTTCGTTCATACAATCATATGGTTATACAATAAACTTCCTGTTATTCAGCATATATTGTGACATGTTGACCCCTCCCACCCCTCAGCGGTAACGTAACGCTCGCGGAATAGGCGAGTAATCACCCCGCATCCTGGCAGCCATGCGCGGTGACGTCACGAGCGGAGCCGAAGAGAGCCGAGCGGAGCCGAAGATAGCCGAGCCCCGTAACCGGGTAACTGTGCAAGGCGAATCAACAGCAGTGACGTAACCGGACAGCGTGGCTAGCAAAAAGGGTGCCTATTACGTGGCCGTTTTCCCGTATTGTCCGATCGAGGCTACATAGGGAGCAGCGAAGGCTATTCACAGTTAGTTGTACTGAGACAGTCAGCGAGTCCTGGAGCTACCGCCGAGTTAGCCAGCAACTAGTCAGTTGTATTGTGGCATTTTTCAGTGTACTAATTGTGATACTGCAGATAGCAGTAATCGTCAGATTGTAATTTGGGTGATTGTGA